TATTAATTAATTTTTTAAAGCCACTATACAGATTATGCAAATCTTTTATGATTTGGGGTTTTCAAATATGTTTATTCAGCAGCCTCATAAAAATATGAAAGAGTAGTGAYAGAAAGATATAATTTTTAATTTAGAAACAAAATAGATATAATAATTAGAATAATATTGAATGTAAAAATAATCTGATCAAGTTTGACGTTTTTTATTTCCTAAAAAATACAAAAAAAGTAAACATATAGATAGTGTTCAACAATTTTAAAACATCCTGAGTAAATATTAAATAAATGTAATACACTAACAAATTAATACTGAACGCCACATTTAATAATAGACTAAAATATTTATGATGCAAACATCATAATTAAAAATTATAATATTTATTCAACTTTTAGATAATTAAAAAAAAAAATAAAAATTGGGTTATTGTTGAAAAAATGTACGATTATTTTAATTTGACTTGGAAACATGTAGCATAATACAAACAAAAATATTACGCATAGGTAGTTAATTGAGATTAATATTTTTTATTCAGGATATTAAATCATAGACTTATGTAAACATTCCTCGATGAGTTTTGTATACACCATGCATTAAATAGAATAAAATTTAAAAAATAAAGACCTATGTGGATATTTAGTAATGAGTTCTCTACAGCTTAGATTTGGCTAGCGAGCCAGGTACCATGAACATTTTKAGATGGTCATGTGCAGGGAACGGATTTTATTGTAATAAGAAATCCAATATATGTTAATATCAAAAAAATATATTAGATTTAAAAATTACAAAAAAAATATTTTATTTAATAAAATGTAGTAGTATTATATATGTATATATTTAGTAAAGTGATACAAATTATGTAAGTATATAAAACAACGAGTAATATTCTGGAACAAAGCAATGACCAACAACATATTGCTGAAGGTTTTCAAATAAAAAATTGCAACGGTTCGGTCAAAGATTGGTCTTGTATTGACTAAAAATCTGTTCCACTTCAACTGATGTGGTAGGGCGTTATTCATATTTGCTAAATCAGAAGAAGTAAATTCAATGTCCAGAGATCGTAGTTAATTTTTTCCTATTAAAATATCTCTGATAATTTTGATAATTTGAAATCCAGAATTTTTTTCAATTATGTTGGCAAATTTATTTTTCACTATTTCTCTCATGTGCCTTTGAGTTTTTTCTAGTTTTTAAAAAAAATTTCTACTATGCTTATACTTTCTATCAAAGATGTTTTTAGTTTCTAATTGTTTAATTGTCTGAATCAAAAAACTTGCAGAAATGTATGTCAAACTGCTTTTTAAATTGA